TCGCCAACTCACGGCGGCGGAAGTCCTCTTGGAGAATCGCGCGCTTCACGTCTTCAAGCGAGAGACGGGGCAGATCACGGTTCAAGTTGATGATGAGCGAGGACCACGACTCGGGGGGTAGGGCCAGCAAATTGGTCTTCGTCTGGAGCTCACTGTAGTTCAAATCAGCTCCTTCAAGCCGCGTCAACAAGTCGAAGAATTTCTGCACCCCTTCTTCCACGGGTTCATCTTCTTCAATTCGTAGCGTCGCCATTTGCCGTTCCAACACCACAGCTACCGCCGCTGTTGCAGGAGCGTGTACACCCTTGAGAGCAGCCCATGCCTTTGGTCCCTTCTCTGGATCACGCTGGAAAGGCTTGATGTGACGGATCTGGTTGCTCCCCAACGCTTGCCCAAGTAGGAGATAGCCTTGTGCGCTCTTCCGCACCCACGGGCTCTTCTCCGGGTCGTTCTCTGGACGTTTCTCCGTTCCTTCCATCACCTCCAGCAGATCATAATGGTCGAACACATTCTCCATTCTGAAGGACCACTCAGCAAAGTTGTCGCCGTTGAACTTGTCAAGCCCGAACACTCTTGGCTCATCCCTTGAGAGCCCAAGAGTTGGTTGCACGGGCGCCACGGCTGAATCACGGGCTTGGCCTTGTGCTTGGGCTTCTCCATTGCCTCCAGCACCTCTGCCACCCCTCTCTTCAGGTCCAGCCATCGTCGTAGCTGCTCCAAGGGGCTCTGATACCACTTGTTATTGTCACAATAGGCTTCAATGTGCCTAAAACGAAAGATAGAGTGCACAGTCGGATTTCTGCACAGCGGCTTTAAACGTTCGTAGCGATCTGGTCACAGCTCCAAATGATCTCATTCAACTTGGATTTGGAGCGTTTTAACGTCACCTACAATAGGCAATTTAGATCGCACGATTTCATTAAGAATTGACGACACAGCGTCAGTTTGAACGAACAGCACTATGGCAGCAACATAGTCTTAGAACACACAATTACGAACATCTAGGAATAGTTACGAGTTAAGAAGGACTCCCAGCTCCTACAAACCCCAAGAGCCGAGGTATAGTAATGAGGAACAGTGCCACACTATCCCCAACCAAGAAGGGTCTCGAAACTACCCTTCACAAGAGCCTACACCAATTGAAATGTTACACTACGCTTTCTAATGTAACTATCTTCAATATCTTGAGGTGTAGCCTTTTTGGCGAGCTTCGAAAACACTTGAAGCTTGAACCAAGGCTCGGGTTCTTCATCACAAAACTCATCCTTGAGTTCTTGATGGGTCTGCTGCACACACCTGCGACACGCCAAACGTTCGACAAAAGGACAAGATAGAAACCGCGCACGGAACACACGACAAAATAAAAACCGCGCGGGACAAAAATGACCGCATTAACATGCGGCTAGCGATAACTCGCTATTGACTCGACACACACATTCGACATCATGACCCATCATTCACACACCATTTCAAGCATGAAATATATATTTATTTCATGCACACATACCACTCCATGCACACACGCATGCACACACACGCACACGGACAACAAGCCGAGTGCAAACCGTAGGGTTGCACTAACAACATGTACCTCCGAACCCCCACATTCCCCCTTATCCCCGTGCTGCCGGTTTTGACCGTAGCACAAGGGATATCACTCTTGTTTCGCTCGTGTGTTGGCCAGAAAGGCAAATTGCGTGCCAGCGCACGCCGCAGGCAGCCACCCACTAGATACACATCAGAGTTGAAGTAAAAAATCACTTTGAGGTGCCAGGGTTTTTAACCTGAAAGCTTGTGTTACACTGACACCTAAGAAAAAGGCTCTCCAAACACTCTGGATTTCAGTGTCATGCCAAAAACGCCTCTAGAAACCAGTGTACTCTAAAACGACAAAAAAACAAAAAAAAAAACAAAAACAAAAACAAAAACAAAAACAAAAACAAGAGGCGACTAAGTCGTCGCAGGGTTGCGAAGCGTTTCGCAACTACATTATGTATGTGCATATTCACATTGTATGGAGTTGTGCTGTACTTTATGCTATATGGCAAGAATAAGAAGATAAATACTTCATTTTGGTAACAACAGGAATCGAACCAAAGACCTTTCGGATCATTTCCCGAAAGCTATCAATTACGCTAAGTCTACTGTAAACATGAGTTCACGCAAAATTACTTACCATTTGAGCTCTAACCGGGTTTTCTACAAAATAAATAATATATTTTGCGACGAATGAAAGGTGGGGTTTCGACAGAACGGCCTCTTTGTCTTCTGTGTTTTATCCCGCTTCTCACGCTGCTCCCGCAGCTCACGCTGCTCTTTCGACTACCACTGCTATAGCTGCTCCAAGTAAGCATTCTCTACTTGTATTCTACCTACTAAAGGTTATTATATTGTCTCCTAAGGTAGAATCTGCAGCCAAGTATCACATATGTTTTAGGATTTTACGTCAGATTTGAAACGATGTTGTTCGTAATCTTTCCCTCTTATCCGTTCGTCTCTCCCTATTCAGCCTCTCTATCGTCCTTCTCGTTTCTTCGAAGTTAAGGTGTTGTTGTTTTGCTTTCTCTACTACTTACCGTCCCGGACGACCCATATTATTTACCGTCCTACTATTCCTCTTGTTCAGTTTAGGTTCCTTCAAGGGTCGCAGTAGATTAGTACGTAGTTCACACGTTTTGTGTTTCTTGCAACGGAAAGTGGCAGAGAAGGCGAGAGAGGGCGTGCGAGAGAACGAAAGGGAACTAAAACCGTTGCGCTTGAACTATAACCGTTGCGTTGTTTTAGGGTTCATAAGCATGCATCCGTTTCTACTGCTCTTCACCCTCTCTTGCCTCTCTTGCCTCTCTTGCATCCTTAGTACCTCGTAGTTGCATACTTTTTTTGACTTTCTTACTTCATTAACCCCTTTCAATTCAACATTCCTCACTTTCTCTCACCTCATTTCTCAATTTCTTTGAATTGGATTCTATTGCACGTTTCGTTCCTTTCTTGTTGCTTCTATTTCACGTTATTTAGTTCCTGAATTGTTCAGTTATGCGTTCCATCATTGTTTTGTTCGAAATTGTTGTTCTTCGTGAGCCTTTTTTTTGTTGTTTAAACCGTATTTCCATAAATTTTTTGCTTCATTCTTCATTCTGATTCCTGCCTTGACTGCATGCTGTTCTGTAACGAATGGCAAATCTTTGCCTTCCCTTCTGAGTATTCGTCACAGATTTTTTTCCGGTTCCTTCTTTCATCATGTCAATTTGCATCATTACTCTTTTTCATTTCACCTTTCTGTTTTTCTCCATTTTGTACTTCTCAGATATTTTGCTGTTTCATTTCAAGCGACCAAGTATGATTTGGAAACGGAAAGAGGCTTGTATTGACTTGTCGGGTCCATAGTTTTTATTGTAGATTTTCATTTGCAAATGTTGTGCTTGGTGTATTGAGTTTTTTTGTTTCCGTAATTGTGTATAATCTTGTGTGTATGTGTTTGCATGCGTGTGTGTGCATGTGTGTTCGTGTGTGCACACTCATTCGTATGCATTTGTCATTAACAATGCGTATCTGTGGATTTTAAAAAAATGGTCAAACTATCATTTCCGAGAAGGTTCTTTGCGCACTCAGTGAGTGTGTCCACTTGAACTGGATTTGATGTTCTTGATCATTTTTTTAGTTTACACAGATTGTGTTGTTTCATGTAACTGTTGGATGATTCAGAAACTATGCTATTGAGCTCCCCCCCATGCTAGGCAGGGGATGCGGTAGCATAGAGTCTGAGTCAACTAACTGTTACGCATTTTCATCATGTTAAACATTCATTTAACTACGGCTTATACCGAAAAAACATTATGCGGTATATTTATCACAGTAGCATATATATTATACTTCATCTATGCATAACATGGTACGGAATAGACACTCACGCGTTCACAGTAACATCATTTTGGCAACACATGTTCATGTTTCATCCATACAAGGTAGGTTCAGTCAAGGCAAACTGAGAGTGAATGTGGCAAATTGCAGAGGCAAATACATACCCTAGCAGTCAGTCACTTACTGTAACTACCGTTCACTACATTTTCTTCTCTTTTTTTTTAAAAGAGGTTGAAAAAAAAATTGTACATAACGATTGTAATAGGTTGCTTCGCAACCCAAAAAAAAAAGCCCTATGGCGCAGGTGTAGCTGCATGCGTGAGCGCTGCTAAAGGGGCGTGACGAGTATAGGGCAGGCTAGGGGCGGGGCCTGCGAACGGGCAGGGCACGGCCTGCGAACGGGCAGGGCACGGCCTGCTAAAGGGCAGGGTTCTCGCTAGGTTTAGGGCCTGTCTGACAGTACCCTCAAAAAAATTTTCCCCGTCTTAAGCACTGACGACGAAACTTACGTGGTCTGCCTTATAAGCTGATTTATTTTTCCAAGTCTGATAAACTAGACGAAATAAAAAACCAAGTTAAAAGTCAGCCTACTGTAATCCTACCTGCAATTCTACTCATACTATCAAACAACCTACGCAGTAGCTAAGGACCTAGTCAGAGTCACTAGAGCCGCACTCTTCATTGCTATCACCACCATCCTCACTACCCACGGACTCTGAAACCGTGGCCCGTTCTTTCCTGCTAAGCCACGGGTACTCAGCATCCATCCTTGCTGCTTCTGCTGCCAGGGCCGCTTCTCGAGCAGCTGCCTCTGCTGCTGCCAGTGCAGCTGCTGCTGCTGCAGCTGCGGCCGATCTCTTCTTCGCACGCTTGCTCTGTCTCTCCCTGGACGCCATCAGCACATCATTAGCAGGCCTTCGCTTCTTGGAAGCATTCCACCTCCTCAGCAACTCGGGCCACTCCATGTCATAGTTTAGGAGCGACACAGCCATCAGCTCTCCCAGCTTCGCGTCGCACAGGTTCCCGCGAAGCCAGCTTTTGATGATGTTCTGCCGTGAAAAGCCGCGCTCGCACTCGACGGTACTGAGCGGAAGCACGGCGACAGCCATCCACAGGTGGACGAGGTTCGGGTAGCATGTCTCTTAGTCGGGGGAGGACAGCATGAGCTTCAGGCTGTCCGCAAACCCGACATCCTCTTGGTGTGTGGCCAGGATTGTAGAGAAGGTGACGAGCTCCCGCTGCGCTCTCGCCCAGTTGATGCCTGCGGTTGGGGTGCGCATGGGAACATTGGTATTGGTGATGTGAAAGGGTTTGAACATGCACGTGGAAACAACGCTAAAGAAACAGCACATTCCTGGCATTTAACGCACCTGGTATAGTATCAGGGTCTTCTGGCTTCCGCTTGAACATGTTGCGCAGAGACTGGAGCCATTGGCCTAGCCGTCGCTCACGCTTTGCCTGGTTCTTGGGATAGGATCCCTGCTTGAACAGCTTCGCCCCGTCGAGGTGTGACAGATCCTTGAGGCGGTAGTCGAGCCGACCGACCAGGGTCGTGATGAACTCGCGCGCCAGCCCCAAACACGCTTGGTGGTCCACACCACTCGTCTGCCCCTTGATCTTCTCCTCGTGCAGTCGGTATCGATGGCTGACCGATGTGCCGTCGGAAGCAGTGCCAGCAACGAGGACCTCGCGGAACTCCCCTGATGCGTGCTTGTCGAGGAACGGGCCCAACGCGTCTCCACCCTGGCCAAACATCGCGTCGTCGCAGTCGAGGTAGCGTGTGCGCAGCAGTAAGGTTGTGTTGTGCACCATCGGCAGCACATGGGCTGCCTCGACCTGTAAACGGGGTTGCACAAGCAGGACGTTTAGTAAATGGTTGTAAATGAAGTAAACAGCCACGGGTAACTCGTGAATCTGCTTACCTGACGCCGCTGAAACTTCAAGCTGAGAAGGTTGAGCTCCTTCAAGACGTCAGAAAGGAAGAACAGCAGAAAATGGAACTTGTAGCTCGTTACGACTTGATACATTTTCTTGTTAGACTCGTGCAAGACCATGACTGCTGCAGGAAACACCTTCACCAGGCGCTGGATGGCGTCACCACGAGACAGCCATCGGACGTCCTTGATGCCTTGGACTTCAAGATGGGTCTCGCAGATGACCTCCTGAAGCTCTTGAAATCTGGCGTGGTTAACAGAGGAACGACCAAGGTTCTCAGCCACGGCTCGGACCACCTTGTCCACGATGTTGAAGTCAGGATGCTTGGCGGCAGCATCCTTGGCCGCCAAGGCCTCCCTACAAGACAGCAGAACGTAACATTAGCACGGGTATATTAAAAAATAATAGGCAGTAAACGCGAAGCAACAACTCTTACCTGTGCGCGATGCAGTGGGACGACACAAGATGAGGATCCTTGCCTTTCAGGCGCGCGGTGACTCCGTTGTGCTGTCCAAGCATGACAGAAGCACCATCAGTGCTCATACCGGTGAGGCGCATGAGGTCGATGCCGGTGCTCTCCAGATGCGTCAGGAGTACTGTAGTGAGTGACGCGGCGTCACACTGCTCCACACTGAGCAACGCGAAGAACTCAGTGACGGGAGCGTTGTCACGCATGAACGTCAAATAGACGATCATGTGTTTCCCCCGTCGTCGGTCGGTGCTTTCGTCCAACTGGATGCCAAGGTACGGACTGTCGCGGATGTGCTTCATCTGGCGGGACTTCAGGTAGCACACCATGGTCTCGACCAGTTGTGCAAAGCCGTACCTGAGACACGCGGGGTTAAAACTCGTTAGTGTTGTAAACTCACGGACCATAAAGCAATGAATTAAAACGGGACACTTACTCGCTGTAGTACGTCCCGCTCTCCTTCAGGGGCAGATCCGGAGTCCCCTGCTCTGCCATGAACTGAACCAAAGCCACGAATAGCACAATGGGAGCGTCAGACTTGCAAATGAACAGCACAATAGCCATCAAGCGAGCAATACGCTTGACATCAGCGTCCCCACGGTGGAAGTCAGCAATGGACTTCTGCACTTTCTTCACGCCGTCGCGCTCCTCCTTCCTCGAGACCGCGGCCTCGTGTTTCAGACTGTGGTGATGCTTGCACATCGTCTGCTTCTGGATGTCGATACCGCCATCGTCGTTGCGCCCGTATTTGTAGTTCGGGTCACCGAAGACCATGCAGATGCTGCAGCGCATGCAGGGGCGGCCGGCCTTGTTTTCGGAGATGAGGAGCCAAGGAAAATACCGCTGCCACTGCTGCTTGCACTTCAACTGAAGCTCCTCAACCGACAGTTGCTTGCCCTTCGGGTCTTCGAAGTCTTCATTCGCGGGTTCGGGTTCTGGTTCCGCGGGTCGCAGAAGAACTGACGGTGCTGGCTGAGTCGGACCGCCCGGTCGGCCGACGGTGAGAACCCGCTGCCTATACCGCTTCTTCAGTGATCTGTCAGGCAAGACGGGGTTAGCACTGCGAGAGGTGGTAGCGACCGAAACTGGAGGGATGCTCTTATTTGCACCGTTGTCAGGCATCGGAGTGGATAATAGCGTAGTTGGGGTAGTGGTTGCTGGCACGTGTTGATCGCCATTTTCCGAGTTGGGCAAAGGTACCGCACCAGAGGTCGACGCAATCGGGGGGGCAGCAGAAGCGATCTGCTTGCCCCGCGTTAGGAAGTCTAGGGCGGAAAGCACGGGCTCCCCATCGCACGGTCCGCCGGCGGGGACGGCCATAGTCTAAACGCTAGGAAGCGTCACGCTGGGAAATCAGACGCTGGGAGGGATAGGATCCATGCTCGGCTGGGTGAGAGGTGAGGACGAGCAGGAGAAACAGGCTTGTTTTCAAGCCAGACCCAGCTGCATGAAACCCCATCACCGTCCACTGCACTCGGAACCGAAAGGCGGTGCACGTTGGGAGCGGGGGGCACTACGACCACAGTGCTGTGTTGCGTGACGTCTAGGAAATGCAAATGCGCTGGCACAACGGGACAGCGCGTTGCCGTGGCTGTGGCTGGCGTCGGCGCCGACAGCCAGCCAAACGACAAACGCCTGGCAGCATATGCCGCAGTTACATGCCAGCGATGCTGCTACAAGGCAGTTACAAGGCTGTATAAGACACGCGTATTGAATGCGTGTGCAGTTACAGGGCAGCAAATGGCTGTACCTGTGGTGGTCCTATCCTCTGGTCCACTGGGCCTATGGCCTAGTGGGTCAAACTGTCGGTTTCAGACGAAACCGAACTCGATATCTGTGTACTCAGATTAAAAAATCTACACGTCTGGAAAAATCATACGAACCTAAAAGTCAAATCTTGCTGATCATATGAGAACAAACACAAAATCTTAGGATTAAGATGAATACATAAAAACAAGTCTCAAACGCAGACCATCAGACCAAATTGGTCTGATAACGAGAACCCTGCTAAAGGGTCCGGGCGCGACGTGCTAAGGGGTGGGGCGATTTGAGGCTACGTTAGGAACTCACTTGCTCTGATACCATCTCAAGAACCAATTTACTTGAGTAGCGAGAGAATGGTGTTCATGTGTGGAGAAGGTACAAGTACAACTCTCGAGAAAAAAGCTATACCCTATATCATACACATCACTACAGCCTAACAAACCTAACATTACTATTATCATATATATAGTTTGACAAGCAGAATCAGCTATGCGCACCATACAGAGCGGATTGGATAGGGCGCTGTAGCGTACCTGGTCGACAGTGAAGAACATACAAAAGGAAGAAGGATGGCAGAATAAAGAGGGATTTAGCACGGGTGGCAGAATGGTAGTGGAAACCAAGTCAGACAAATGCAGAATGCAGAGCACTTCACAAATATGGTAGCCACTCACTGAGATGCAGAAGAAAACATTGCAGTAGTGCCCAGGAATCCACTCCTCAAAGGTGTCGAGCTGCAGTTGTTTGTGTCGTAGCTTCGCCACTCGAGACAACCCGGGGCACCATTGATGTTGTGCACTTCGAACGTAGACTTGTAGTTCCCAGCAACCTCCTTTGGGAACGGATTGCAGCCCTTTTTGTAACGGAACGTGTAGGGCCTGGATGCATTGGTTAGAGTCTGAGACTCGTCCTGAATGAGAGTGACGCTGCTGGCAAGCACTTGGTCAGGTGAACCTGAGGATGGATGGCACAAGCGGCAGGGGAGATGAGGAGCATGGATCGGAGGAAACGAGAATGAAGGAGCGTGATGCTATGAAGTGGGGATAGACAGGAAGGTGAAAAGAAAACCTGACAAGTGTCCAACTTGACGGCTGCACGTTAAGGAGAAGAAATCCCCTCTCTACGACAAAGAAACCTATCGTTCGCAGCATGGGGTCACGGCGTCTGATTAAGAAACTCTCAGCTGCATGGTCCTTCTCCTCTGCTGCATCTCGTCAGCTTCAGGTAAAAGCAAAGCGTGATGACGAGAGAGGAAGCAGACGGGGCACTGTGAATGAGTTGAGAGTATTAATCTCACCCTGGACACAACCAGTTGAGGTCATTCCATAACCCCCGGGGCACTGGCAGTATGGCACAGAAGAACCTCCGCTAGGCGGGTAAAAGGTTTGGCAAGATGCTCCCGAGGGGCAGGAGCCACAGCGTGAGCCTGCACAACAGAGTAAGCACGGGGGAAGGATGGGAGGAAAGAGGGACGGCGGGATGAGCACAGCAACTGGGCAATGAATGCTCTTAAGAGCGCACAAAGTGGTAGAGATTGGTGCAATGGAAGGACAGAAGCCATTCTTACGCCATTGGCAGTAGAAACCTCCATAATAGGCTGTACAGGTCCCTTCTGGTTCGCAGCCCAGCATGTAACACTCCGTTCCTGATGTGAGTGCAGGGAAGGACGGGGACGAACAAAGGGGAAATAAACAAAATGGGGCGAGGCGGTGAGGGGGAGGGTTTGCTAAAAATAGTAGAGAGAAATCTTGGTGGAAGGTGCTTGCATGATAGCGACAAATCACGTCTCAACTGGTTCGACCAATTGACAGCCTAAAGGCGAGACTGTTTCAACTCACTGATGCAAAACAATCGGTCCCGAGCAACGTGATAGCCCGCGTTGCACGAGCAGGTTGCATCTCCGTTGTCCTTATACACGCACTTGCCGTTGAGCCCACAATCCACCAAAACGCAGGTGTCTGCCAAAAATAAACACAGGCAAGATGAAGACTTCTTTCTTCATCTTGGAGAATAATAGAATCCAATCAAGGTTCACTATGCTTGCAAATTATCAACTCCTGCAGCAACACGGCTGAAGGGAGGATAGAACAGTAAACCAGTGAGAGAGATTCGCTCATAACTCATGGGTCAAACCCGAGCAAACTCCCAATGGCAGGTGGATAACGCAACAGACAAACCCCTTGCACTCCCCCAACCCACCAATGCAAAATAGCTTGTCAGCAGACGGTTTGAAGCCGATTGTGCAGTTACAGAACGGGTTTCCGTTCCCATCCTTGCTGCACGTGCCGCCGGACCCACACTTCACTGCACCACAATTGTCTGTCATGACGAGGAAGACAGATAGGAGGGAATGTTGACGCAAGGCATGGTGAAAGCTACAGATAGAATGGATGATATAGAATCACAAGGAGGCTTTATGACCACGGGGTATATGGCATAACGGAATCAGGTGGTGATGCAGCGTGAGCATTATGGGGACTATTTCAGACACTGCAGGAAGAACCTGCAGAGCATTCATAAGAGTAGTGCAATTCTATTCCCACAAATTTCCTGATACCAGAAACCAGCAAGTCCAAACTGAAGTGCATGCCAGTTTGACATTCCACCACTTGATATTTTGTCTGGATAACTGGTCAAGTGGGGCAAATGAATCAACTGAGCTCACCAATGCAAGTAAGGTTGTCAAAAGACGGCTTGAAGCCAATCGTGCAATTGCAGAATGGGCTTCCGTTCCGACCCTTCTCGCACGTGCCGCCGGGCCCACATTTCACCGAAGCACAGTTGTCTGCCACAACGAGGAATTCAGATAGGAGGGAAGGCATAGATCCACAAGGAGGCTTGACGACCACGGGGTATATGACAAACGGAATCAGGTAGCGATGCAACGTGAGCATCATGGGGACTATTCAGAAACCAAAGGCGGAAAGAGTCTGCAGAGCATTCACATCAGTAGCCAGTAACTTAACAATGTCTCTGTCCCTTATTCTCATGTCCAGATTGGTAATCGGTCTGGACAAAGAAATCGATCAACTTGAGTTGTATGAGCTTACCAATGCAAGTGAGGTTGTCAGAAGACGGTATGAAGCCGGTGTTGCAACTACAGGCTGGAATTCCGTTTGCATCCTTCTTGCACGTGCTGTTGGGCTGACAAATCACTGAAGCGCATTTGTCTGCAGTGAAAAAAAACACACACAGAGAAGAACGATAAGGTTTCACAACCATGAACATTGGATTCAGGTATGCAACGTGTGCATCATGCTGACGTTTTCATAAGCCAAAGGCAGGTCAAATCGTCCTGAGATTCATGCGATCAGCAAAGAAGACCTCACTCCCCATAATCCTTTCATATTCTCTCACAATCTTGCTGTCCCCAATTCTTGGGTGCAGGCCAGCGTGACATGCCACGTCCACCACTATTGCGTTTTACTTAAATCACCATTCTGGATGGCTGAGCAAGTGCAGCAGCTCAACCAAAAGAACTCACCAACGCAAGTGTCGTTGCCCGGAAGCCTCTCGAAGCCGATGATGCACTCGCAACTTGTATTCCCACTTGCATCCTTGCTGCAGCGGGAGTTGGCACCGCATGTCACCAACTCACACTTGTCTGAAATGCAAGTGGATCAGTAGGATAAGAGGAACAGAGGTGAGGTGGGTAAAGAATGGAATGGAGGTGGTGGGAGGAGGAAAAATGATCACTGCTTAACGCATGAGAAATGAAGTGAAGACCAGAGCAGATCATTTGAAAGAAGCGGTAGGGCGAACGAACCAGAGCGCAGTGATACAGTGCTTGCGGAGCACAAGCATTCTTGCACTCCAGGCCCCATCAAACATTCACTCTCTTGCTCCGGCAATTGCTACGTGCAACTCACCAACGCAAGTGATCCTGTCGAGAGGCATCTGGAAGCCAGCGTTGCAAGCACATGTGGCATTTCCATCTGCATCCTTGATGCACTTGCCGTTGGGCCCACAATTCACCAGATCACATTTGTCTGCCATGGAAGGGGTGAGCGATGGAAGCAGGCAAGGATAGTGCGACCGGGATGGGTCTATGAGGGGAACACACTACAAGAATGCGTTCAATCATTCACTCATCGGCTCAGCAGAAGCACAAAGTGCAATCTAAGCTGGGCTGAGAAGAGTTTGAATAAAGCACATCAGCACGTTCCACCTTGTTGGTCCGGGTTGAGGGAACTAGGGTTTGCACTCTGCCAAGGTGTCGAAGAGTCTCTGCCACAATGATACACGCAACTCACCAACGCAGGTGTTGCTGTCAGGAGCATACTGAAATCCCTTGTTGCACACACAATTCGGAGCCCCAAGCGCGTCCCTTTCACAACGGGAATTGGCCATGCAGTCGAGACTGCACTTGTCTGCACAAGGAGGTTTAACCAGAAGAAGAGGAAAACGATCAGTACAATGTACTGAATAGCGTAGAAAGTTCGCGTTCATAACCCCACAAGAACAAGATACTGGCCCCAAAGTGAGTTCCATCCCTACATTCCGTGCAAATCCAAAGCCTTGTACCTTGACAGGTGCCGTTGATGCCAATATAATACTTGTCGCACTTGCAGGTGGCTCCCCTGTTGTCACTTGTCTCCGCACACACGGAGTTGGCCGGGCATGTGGCGTACTTGCATGCCGTGTTCAACGCTGCACACCCGCGCATACAAACAAGATCAGATCAGACCCTCTGACAGCCACAGACGAGGAGCGTACTGATAAAGCAGAGAGCCGAGAGTGGTTGAACGGAAAAAGGCAGCAGGGTAGACAGAATGGGTGAAAAGGCAGCAAGGGGTGAAAGGCAGCAAGGGGTGAAAGGCAGCAAGGGGTGAAAGGCAGCAAGGGGTGAAAGGCAGCAAGGGGTGAAAGGCAGCAAGGGGTGAAAGGCAGCAAGGGGTGAAAGGCAGCAAGGGGTGAAAGGCAGCAAGGGGCGAAAGGCAGCAAGGGGCGAAAGGCAGCAAGAGGCGTACAGAATTTGCAGCGAACTGTTGTGAGTGGGCTGTATGATGAAGGTGTGATGGACGTGGGGTTGCTGCTGCTTGGGGGAAGAAGAGAACACAACGCAAAACACAACTTCTCTACCCATAACCATCGCATCTGGTCACGGCTCCCACCTTCTCTGATCCCCTTCAATTTTCACCCCGTTCAGAGGGAGAATCTAGGGGTTTTTCTTTCATTAGTCTTTTTCTTTCCATTATAAGTTTACCGATCTCTACTAACATAACACAATGCTAATTTGTCTCCGACCACCACGGCACAATAATATTCTCGAGTAAGCTTCTAATAAGCGAGGTGACCGAAGGGGAGATGGGCACGAGTGGTTGGAGTTGGTAGATGGGAGGGAATTGAATGCGGTAATGGACGGGGCGCCCAGATTGTGGAGGGGCAAACGCGACTTCCAGAAATTGACCATGCAATTCGCGACACCGCGGTTTGAACTCACGTCCATGCTTGCACAAGTCGCGAACGTGCACTTCGGCTTCGGGAAAATGCTCGTCGTGCAATTCCACAACTTTCCGCCACACGAAAACTGTTTTTAGCGTATAAGGCAAGCACCCACGCGCACTGACCTGGAGAAGGAGTAGAAGTGCTGCATGACGGCGCCGTCGCAGTTGGTGCCCGGGAAGAACGACACCACGTTGCACGGCGCACTCGCCCCGCCCCCCGGCAAGCTGCTGCTGCTCCCCCACTGCACGGTGACAGGCGTGGCGACGCCAGCGGGCGCGGTGGCGGCGGGCACGGTGGCGCAGCGCGAGGAGGGGTCGAAGGCGACCTTGTAGGCGCCCACTGCCACGGCCGTCGCCACCACCACCCTCGCCGCCACCTCCGTCGGCCACCACGCAGCGTCTCCCGCTGATGCCATGCAGCCGGGATGACATGACGCCACGTGCGATGCAGGTAGGGCGCGGGCAGAGCAGCAAGGGGAGGTGAGGGAGGCGTGAATCCGGTGTGAGAGCAAGAGGGGGCATGAGGCAGCGAGTGAAGCTGCAACCTCATGCAATTGGCCATGCCCTTATTGCAGCGCTTGCCCTTTAGGGAACGAAGCCCTGATTGCGCGTGCAGGCCATGCAACGACAGGCACTTTACTGACTGGGCGACGAGGAGCGTACCGATAAAGCAGAGAGCCGACAGTGGATACGGATAGGGAAGAATGGCTCGGCTGGTGTAGGTGGTCGGGCTGTGGAGGGGAGGGGAGGCACAGGAAGCACGAGAGAGAAGAAAGGCTGGTTAATCCCGATGTCTTATTTCATTATAGCTTAAAACGCGACCGTTTTATCCCTGCCAGCTCGTAAGTCGAATCATGGCATTCCGCTCCGCCTATATCAACACCCTCGTTTTGAGCCTGTGGGTAGCGAGGTGTTATAGCACAGGTCGCACTGTACCCCTCTCTACCCCACCCACGCCATGGCGCAGGCGCGACGCTGACCTTGAGGGCTTGGCGGCGGACGACGCGACGACCCCAGTGCAATCAGCGCCGGTCAGGAAGGTGACGTTCTCGCACGCGGGGAGACCGGCGGCGGCGGCGGCGGCGGACGTCCACTGCACGGTGGCGGAGGAGGCGGTGGTGGGCAGGTTGGTGCAGCGCGCCGCCGTGAAGTTGAACGCGAAGGTGCTGCCCACCGTGATCGCCGTCGCCACCGCCGGCGGCGGCGTCGCGGACACGTCTTGGCCTGACGCCCCGCGGATGACGTCATTGGCTGCAGGGGAGGGCGAGCAGGAACAAGCGGGGAGCAGAGCAGAGCGGGACATTGGTTGGTGTGGTCTGCCCTGGTCCGCCCGCATAGCATTTCCTCCAGTCGGATTCAGCGGCACCGCGCGGACGGGAATGGCGCTCTCAAGAATGCCGAGTGACGCGGAGAACGTCAGGCTGGGAACACATGGTGGAGAGTGAATGCGATGATGTGACTTGGGGCCTGCGGGCACACAAAGAAGCAAGGAACGGACGAATGCACACCCATCACCGGCATGGGCACATAACAGCACTCGCGGGGCGGCACGGGTGGTGGACTGACCGAGAATGAGGGCGAGCGCGAGCAGCGTGAGCAGCGCCGGAAAGCCGCCCATCGTGGCGAGCGGGGCGGAAAACCGATCGGCGCAGCGCAGGTGGCGGTAGCGATGGCGGATGGCAGTGGTTGGCGCGATATGGTCGCAGATTCGCCGACGATGGTTGGGCAGAATGAGGGGCGGCGAGATAGTCTCGCAGAGAGAGCGACGGCGAGATGGCACAACAGGGGGTTATGGCACAGAAGCGGCACTTCACGAGGCTTCATGGCTGCTGTGGGCTGGCTACTTGAAGTGCGCGCTCGACGCCACCACCCCGCTGCGAGGCGAGAAAGGTTGTGGAACGCGGTAGTATGGGGGGGTAAAAGGTACCCAAGTGAGCGGGGAATGCGGTGAGGAAGTCAAGCGGATGGGAATTGATGAAACGCGATGAGGTACCGAAGGATAATGGGGGCGCATTCGGCAGGAACAATTCACGAAACCTAGGGTCAGGAAATTGCATGACGGAAAGGTAGACAGCGCTAGAAATCACTCGAGCAGGATAGCCAATGGTTGATCAAAGTGTAACCTTTGGTGTAACCAATACTTCAACCACTTTTTGTGACACGGTACAAAGTAGTACACCCCAAGTGTGTAGCTGAACGCGATTGAGAATCGCGATCGCGTCAAGCAAATGTGGACAATGTGGATGTAACACATTTTACAGTGCTTTCTTCCTACAAAATTGGGAAAATATGCAATTACGTCAGGTTTCAAGTTTCGTTATCAACTGGCAACAAGAAGCACATTTACAGTCTGGCCTGATATCACCTATGATAGTAAAGTAACGCCTCGCCTTGAGCCATTAGCATGAAATAAATATGTACACTACAAATAGAGAACATGCTCCAGGCGTCCCATCGTCATGCAAGGATAGTTCCAACGCCTACTGTAGCAGCTGAGAAGGCCAGAAGGGCAGCACCAATGAAAACCATAGACATGTCAATTAACCGGCTCAATCTTTTCTGCTCAATGTCTTTGGGCTCTCTCATCGACTCTGATGCCTCCATCCCACCAACCTGCGCACTCTCCAGCACATTCGCACGGGCTTCCAAACCTGATGAATGGTCGATTTCAGTGAGTAATATTGAATTTCCTTCGGTGTGACGGGCTTGGGAGTCATTGCGTAGGTCTGTCGAGGAAAATGGAGAGCTTGGTGTGTGTAGCTGACCATGAGCCAGGGGAGAAAGTAAAGAGCCACGTGTGTGGCTGTGGAGCGACAGGAGGGGGAGAGTGTGTGCGTAGAGAGGGAGGAGGCAGATAGACGCGAGGAGAACAAGGGCTGGTGAACGCCTCGCGAGGAAAGCCTGAGGTGGAATGGGTTGGAGGAAGCAGACGTGGGTGTTGAGGTTAAAGAATTTATTTGGAAACGCTTGTTGGCGGGGGAATGGGTTGGTATACGAGTGGCAAGTATCAGGACAAGGCGAGTAGAAGCACAACTGTCGCTGACAAGCTTTCCTCCATGACATATTGCTGATCATGTAGCAACAGCACATACGGTACACACTTTATGGCATATCAAGTCACATCGCATACTCGTTTAACAAGTTGTAGCATTCAGATCGGAACACATGCCATGCCATAATACTTTATGACATCACAACACACCACATTTCCACACATCACATTGCAACACATCAAATCATATCACATTACACATTACCCATCGCATCAGATCCCATCACAGCACCCCAGCACTCACCCCAGCAGCATGCGCCAGAACCAGCATGCCACACGCCACCAGCACCGCCCTCTGCTTCCCCAGCCGCACCGCAAGCGTCGGCACGCCTGCGCTGGCGTCACCAGTGACGTCAGCGACGTCCATAAGCACCTCTCGGTACAGCAGCGCGTGGAAGAGGAAGAGGAAGGCGCCTGACGCACGGTAGAGGGCGGAGAAAGAGGCTGGAGGGTGGAGAGGGGATGGTGCAAGGCAGGAAACGAAGAGAAGTCGGGTAAGGTAGAGTGGGATGGAGGGAGCACAGGCCGAAGGGATGGGGTGAAGGGAAGGGGTGAGAAAGGAATGGGTGAAAGGGGAGGGTGAAGGGGAAAGGGTGAAGGAGTGACTGGGGAGAGGGTGGCGGAGGCGGCAACGGCTACTGACACACGAAAAGAACCATTTAGCCAAATGACACACTGAACCAAGCCATAGGGACCAGCGGCATGCACTGCTACCACCAGGCGGATCCTCACAAATCGAATGCTGTGAGAGAAGTGGAGAGAGAGAAGGGGGCGAGGGGGGGAAGGACAGCATACCTCCAGCAGCAAGCGCGCCAGCAAGCAGGGACGACGCTATGATTGCAGCGACTGAGACGTTCTTAACCAGAGTGATTCTCTTGAGGAACGGGGTGTAGAGATACGTGCCGACCGCCGCGCCCGCCACCAGCATGCGCAGAGGCAAGGGCTCCAGCTGACACGCTGCGAGGACTATGAGGGAGTAGAGACAGCCTGCTGCTAGCTCCGCCTGGGATCAATCACAAGAAAACAGGAACGAGAAAGGGTGGGGTAGAAGAGAGGTGGTAGGGGAAACGATTAAGAAAGCGGGTATTTGTAGACTCTCCTCTGATGAGGTGGGCAGAGCTGAAACGCTGGAAAAACTACGCAGGTGTACAGGCAGCCTGCTGCTAGCTGCGCCTTGGAAAGGGTGGATAGTGGGAGACATGTTGGCACCAGAGTAGCACTCTCGTCCCTCCACGCCCCTCGCCTCTCTTGAACGACGTACATCATAAGGGTGCACGGCGCCTGACACGAGGGGCTTGGCGGGCGAGTTGACTCGGTCGGACCCGATCTGCCAGTCAAACACGTCGTTGACCACCATTGACGCCAGCGCGATGCTGCCCGATAGCGCCGCCACCAGCAGCACCCGCGGGGACAGCCACACGGGAAGGGCAGGGAGGCTCGCTGCAGCGGCGGCAGTTGCTGCGGTGGCGGCTGTAGCAGCAGCGGTTGTAGCAGCAGTGGCAGCTGTAGCGGTGATGTTGGCAGTGGCAGCAGACATGGCCGCAGTGCCACCGCCTGCGGATGAGGCGCCGAGGAACGCGCCGAGGAGCACGAGCAGCACAGAGGGCAGGAAGTTGTGCGGGCGGGAGAGCGCCAGCAGCCCCGCCAGCAGCTTGCGCGCGTGCTGCGCCTTCTCCGCCCACGACCGCCCCTCCAACCCCTGCACCAGAATACTCGCGCTGCTGTTAGTTGTAGTAGCGGCAGTACTATCAGCAGCAGTAGGATCCTCAACCGACAAGGCGTCTCTCCTGTTGGCTTCACCGCCGGGGAAGTCGACTCGATGATCATGATAATCATGCGTGCCCGCCCCTCCAGCAGCCGCTGCAGCCCCAGCAGCTCGAGGCGCCCCAGCAGCCAGGTGTAGGCGTGTAGAAGCAGCAAATTGCCCTGCGAATGGCGATTTCCGGAGAAGGCGGCCGGTCCCGCGGCGATTAAGCGAGCTCTTGCTGAGGATCACGGTGAGCGTGCGTCGGCTCCCCCTAATCTCGCGAAGGCGAAGATTCTGCAGCGGGACGCACGGGGGAAAGACGCCGCGTGGCAGGCGGAAAAGGATTGTACAGCATTTAGCGCAACGCTGCTGCTTATAGTGATGCGGTACATGACCTCCGAAATAGTTACGACAGACATATACTGCATGGTGAAAGAAGGTCACCGCAAGCGTGGAAAAATGTCCTTTTGTTGGAAGTCCAAGATTGACGAAGCGAGGGGCCAGTAATTCGCGTCGCGATGATACGCACAGCAGAAGGTTGAGAATCCTGCCGCAGAAGCCGCGATGTCGGTGGCGGCTGCGGCGGAGGTGGTTCCACGCGGCGACGAATGCCAGTATTTAACGCCACATTGCCTGATTTGCCGGTGGTTGTGCAACTGCTAGTACGAGTACCACGGCCACACGGCGAGATCAACGTGCCGCTGTCATTTCTCCTCCAGTCGAAGAGTAGCGCGGCGGAGCGCGTGGCGACGGCCATAGTTACTACGCCACAGCTCGATAATACGCGAGGCAGCGGGGCGTACTATCTGAAAGGCTTTCTGCTGCCACGTGCGTCTAAGGCTGTCCGCACATGCAGGCCGCAGCGTCACGCAGCGTTACTACCAGCTGAAAAAATGTCCAGCCTTTTTGCAGGGACGATCAAGTCAACATTTTGGCAGCGCGTGCTGCTGCTTTATAGAACCTCATGTTCTCGTAGTCCTGTGCTTACGTGCTCGGCACAAACAGGCTTCTTTTGTCTACGAGTTCGCGTCGCACTTTGATGAAATACGTGCCGTTGGAAGCGCTTCAGGGGGCCTCTCCTTGGCTTGGCTGGCCTGTGTAAGAATGGGCGAAATTGCATAGGCGCACATTTTTAGGAAAACAGCTCACTTGATGGACAACACTTCTGACAGTCGCTTTGATCACGCATAGTCGAGAGACAGTTGGGTCTGACACATAAACTTGTCCTCAGAATCCAGAAGCAGCCTAAAATTGTTGCTCTAAAAAAATCAAATGCACAGAACAATGTCAGTTCAGGAAAATAAAAACGTGTAGTTCGGTAGGTTATGATTACAGACCTTTAGAAAGTTTTTGCCTAAACCCTGGCGGGCAAACACATAGCGAACGGTACTCAGCAAAGGCGCTGACGACATTCAAGGGAGTAAAGCAGCGCTCGGATGGAACAGTTTAGTAATTTCTCGATGTTCACCTTGCTTGATGTTTCGAGAACTCGCCGACCAGGGTGTCACTTCATATGAGTTCCATCTCATGCTAAGATGGACTAGTCGTGGCGTGACGAGGACAACACGTTGGCGTGATTGATGTAGTACACCCTGCTAGAACTCCTAAGGTATAACACAAAATCCTGGAACCATTAATGATTGTCTTACGGTATTTAGGCAGCTAATGGCGTGCTGCGCTGTTTATTAACTAATCAATATAAATGTTCCTGTAAAATCGACTTTTAAGCATCCTTATATGACCTTCATAATTGATTGCATGCAGAAGTTTTAAAGCATATATATACACATTTATATTCAGAAGGATGCTTCATGACCAGGGATTTTTGGGTTGCGAAGCAACCTATTGCAATCGACCTAAAGGAATTTTTTTTTCCAATTTTTTTGTTATTTGTTTATTACAAAAAGAAAATAACTAAAGAATGTTTCATATTATATGGAAAGAATATAAAATAACTAAAAACCTGATAATCTTTTCATAACGGTCATACAGTATAGGTCATTATTTCTTCAAAGAACAAATAATGAATCTAATCAATTAATTTAATACTATTTTTAGCCTCGTATTAATGCACCGTAAGCTCACCTCACCTTCAACATAATACATTGGAATCCGTTAACAATATTTACATACTGAAAATCTTGATTATTGCAATTTTAGAAAAAAGAAAATCCATTAAAGAAACAATACTGATAGCTATAATGGTCGTGTAAAACGATCATTACAGAAGTGTATTGTTGAATTTGAAAGTGAAATACGATATTGAAATATATTCATCGAGAAAATCGGTGAACATATTTCATGGTTTTTAAAATTAGCAGTTTATGTAACGTTTGCCGTTTTCAAAGCGTATACTGCCGTTTCCCCAGCCTAGCGTGGGGGGGAAACTGAGTAGTATAGACGTTGGGAGATAACATAAGCAATACAATCTGCGAATCTCAAAGACATGACTACGTCGATCAAGTCCAGTTCAAAATGGCTTCACTGTCATAGTGGTACACCACTGAACCTTGTGTGACGATGATCGGCAAGTGATCTCTTTGTGACGCGCAGACATGCATTACTAACGCAACCATAAGCACCACATGAAAAAGCATTATTATGAGAAGTCATGCTAGCAATTAAATATATGTTATCTAGAAGAATAGTATTAAGCACGCGTATGCTTAAAGAAACGTTGTTGTAGAAGATGTCATCTTGCAAAACCTGCAAGTTAAAAAAGGCGTGAATAACATAAACAGTACGCATACGAAGATGTGATATTAAGGCGCTGAATATAACGAAAACGGAAAAAAAAAAAAAACATGAGAATACATGCAATACAAACAAATGAAGCGGAACGTGAAGGAAGTTGAGCTTAGTGAACGATAAAAACTAAGGTGTAGTTCTTACATCAATATCATTAACATTCTACTCAATGACCTGCATGCAACAATGCATATTGATAAAAGAATCAAACGGTTGGAAATCAATGGGTCAGATCCAGATAAAGTACGGTAGTCTTTAAATTTGAAGAATGACATCAATATTATACTTAAAATGTAGTTGCACACTTCATATCAAACACTTACATCAAAAGATCTCTTAGAAGAAGAGCAGGGTGTGGGCATGCTTGAAGCATCCAAGCCTGAAGGTGCTCGAATGCTCATGATATCCGCAATGCTCTTAATTATCCGCAATCCCTCATAGCGGAAATGTATCTGCCCCACACATAAAAGAATAGAAAAGAATAAAAGAGGGAAACAAAAGAAAAAAAGCAATAAGAAGGCAGAGGAAACAAACCCAGTGTCATGTTAGTCTCGGTGGAAACGCATCAATATGGTATGTAACATGCAAATCAAGTATGAATGCATGAAAGGTGGGTCATTTTTTGGATAAAAAACTCACCTTCACACGCCAAACACCACACAATGCATGCAATAAACGCCGTCGCTCGTCGTCAGAGGATGAAAGAAAATCGGCAATCTGAAAATTTGGAATCATCTTCGCCATAAGCCTCGGCTCCAATACTATGTTGCGGGATCGGCTCTTGAAGGCTCCTAAAGAAACAACGACAAAGAAAAATTGTCACAAGATCATGCCATTGGTGTATTGTTGGACATAGTCGAATAATGTTGTAGTATAACAATATCTTAAGAACTCACCACTCTCGGTCACAGCAAGAGTGATGGTGACATTGTCGTTCTTGGAGATTGAAGCAGTTCCGTGCTTCACACACTCATCCAAATCTGTGACCATCGATGTGTAGATAGGCATGCCACAAATCGCATCTCCACACTTCACGGTGTTAAACTGCATTATGCTTGTAGGCTGTAGTGGGGTAGCCAATATGGGGTACAACCCCAACTAGGGTTTGCTACTTGTACCCAACTGTTTCATTCAATGCATCATTCTTGCCTAGTTCTTCTGACATGGTATTCAGAGCAGGAGGTCCCTAGGACCTACCGACCGTTTTTTTTTAAGGGCCCACCACCGCTCGCATGCGGTTACCACGCTACCCCGTGCCCTAGCCTCGTAGCGCCCTCGTTAGCGCCCTCGCGCGCCCCTCGTTAGCGCCCTCGCGCGCCCCTTCGTTAGCGCCCTCGCGCGCCCCTCGTTAGCGCCCTCGCGCGCACCCTCGTTAGCGCCCTCGCGCGCCCCTTCGTTAGCGCCCTCGCGCGCCCCTTCGTTAGCGCCCTCGCGCGCCCCTTGCTAGCGCCCTCGCGCGCCCCTCACTAGCGCCCTCGCGCGCCCCTCGCCGAGCCGCCCGCTCGCAGCCCGCCCGCCCGCTCGCTGCCCGCTTCGCGGCCCGCTCGCTACGCAGCCCGCCCGCCCGCTCGCTGCCCGCTTCGCGGCCCGCTCGCTACGCAGCCCGCCCGCCCGCTCGCTGCCCGCTTCGCGGCCCGCTCGCTACGCAGCCCGCCCGCCCGCTCGCTGCCCGCTTCGCGGCCCGCCCGCTTCGCAGCCCGCTCGCTCGCTGCCCGCTTCGCGGCCCGCCCACTTCGCAGCCCGCCCGCCCGCTCGCTGCCCGCTTCGCGGCCCGCCCGCCTCGCAGCCCGCTCGCCCCGCTGCCCGCTTCGCGGCCCGCCCACTTCGCAGCCCGCCCGCCCGCTAGCTGCCCACTTCGCGGCCCGCCCGCATCGCAGCCCGCTCGCCCCGCTGCCCGCTTCGCAGCCCGCCCGCCCGCCCGCTGCCCGCTTCGCGGCCCGCCCGCCTCGCAGCGTCGCCCGCCCGCCGTGCTGCCCACTTGCAGCGCCGCCTGCCCGCCGCGCTGCCCGCTTCCCGGCCCGTCCGCCGAGCTGCCCGCTCGCAGCGTCGCCCTCCCGTCGCGCTGACCGCTTGCAGCGCCGCCTGCCCGTAGCGCCAGCCTCGCCCGCTGCTCTCTATCCGTGCACAGTCGCCTTCCCCTGCTGCGGCAGCTTGCGTTACTCTGTCACACTGTCGCTATGGCTTCCATCCGCGTACTGTCGTTCGATGCTGAGGGCCGCCCTGTGCGGTTCACCGCTTGGCTAGATGACCTGCAGCTGTTCCTCCTGAGCGATAGCAAGGAGCATGTGTCGCTCTATGATTACGCGTCTGGTGCTGCGCCTGCCCCTCCTGCCACAGCTGAGCTTAGTGTTCGTTCCCACTGGCAGACTCGTGACGCAGCTGCTCGCCTAGCCATTCGCAGTCACCTGCCGTTAGCTGAGCTAGAGCATTTTGGCGACTGCAAATCCGCTAAGGCCCTGTACGACGCTGTCGTCGCTCGCTACTCCTCGCCTGCCACAGCCGAGCTTAGCCGCCTCATGCTGCCGTACCTGTTCCCCGATCTGTCCACCTTTACTACAGTCGCCGATCTTATCACCCACCTTCGCACTAGTGATGCTCGCCTGCGTGCCGCTCTTCCCACCGAGTTCTGCGCTAAGAACCCCCCTCCACTGTACTGGACACTCCACTTCATAGTCACCCGTCTCCCTGACACCCTCCGCTCAGTTCGAGACCACTTCCTTGCTCGCTGTCCCACTGAGCTCACAGTCGCCCTCCTAGAGGAGCACCTGCTCGCGGCCGAAAAGAGCATTGTAGCTGTCGGTGCTGCTCGTGGCGCTCCTCGCACCCCCATCTTTGAGGGGTGTTCTCCCTCTCCCCTCGCTCCCTCCTACGCTGCTGCTGCTGCTGTTGACTTCCTTGGTGCTGAGTCTGTTGGCGCTGCTTCTACTCCTGGTGGGAGGCGCCGCACCGGCAAGGGCAAGGGGGGCAAAAGTGGTGGTGGTGGCGCTGGGGGGGGAGGAGGTGGGGGAG